CTTGAGCTCTTCCTCCTAACTAACAATTTATTTATTCGCTCCTAAAGTCCAAGGACCTTGATTTGCAACCTTTTAACTTGAGATTCTAAAGCTTCATCCTTGTCCTTGGATAAAGTTGAGCATCCTAGGATGCTATCACTTTTAAGGACAAACTCATGAAGAGGCCAACTTAAGGTGCAAAGGGACTTAAACGTCCATCTTAAGATTGGAAAATTATAGTTCTTTTTAAGCACAAACTCGCGAAGAGGCCAACTTAAGGTGCAAAAGGACTTAAGCGTCCACCTTAAGATTGAAAAATTATAGTTCCTTTTAAGGACAAACCCACAAAGAGGCTAACTTAAGGTGCAAAGGGATATAAACGTCCACCTTAAGATTGAAAAATTATAAAGCTTCAATCCGAAGGATTGGTGGACTTGTCGACTTCAACTTGAATGCTTGGCAAACTTTGAAGACTTGGTGGACTTTGCAGACTTCAAATTGGAGACTGACAAACTTGAAGATTTGACTGACTTAAAGACTTGGCAAACTTTGATGCTTTATCTTGAAGAGCGGTGGACTTTCAAACTTCAACTTGAAAAATTAGCAGACGTGAACACTTCAACTTGAAGACTTGGAAGGCTTGAATACTTCAACTTAAAAATTTAGAGTGCTTGAATATTTCAACTTGAAGACCAGCGAATTTGAGGACTTCAACTTGAAGACTGACAGACTTGAAGACTTCAACTTGAAGACTTGGAGGGCTTAAATATTTCAACTTGAAGAGCGGCGAACTTGAAGGCCGGTGGACTTAAAGATTTGGCAAACATGAAGACATCGTGAATCTCCGGGCTTCAATGCAAATACTTAGTAGCCTCCTAAAATACTATAATCATTCCATCGAAGATACCAATTTACCATAGAGGCTTTCCCCCTTTAAATCAAATAGGGTCAAAAGTTCAATAGAACAATGGTATCTCAGCTCGATCTTTTGAACTTATGCGACTAAACTTAAAATGAAACTCTAAGTTGCCTACGTACCTAGGTGAAGAGGATCAAGTCATACAGTAGTTCAGAATGGGTGAGTTTTTTAAGTGTCCTAACTTTTGCCTTGGCCACCTCTTTCAAGATTTTTAACCTAGCGGACTTTTTTTTTTTGGTAGTACACAGTTTATACTCTTTCGGGCTAGGAGTAACATGCAGTTTATGCTCTTGCGTTAAGGAGCGTATCGACTTGTAATTTAAGCTCGTATTTTGAGAAGCGTTGCAACTTGAAGATTTTGCTCAAATTTGAAGAGCTCCATGCCATACAGTTTAGGCTCGTGCAACTAGGAGCATAATAATTTGAAGACTTAGCTTATGTTTCGAAATTCTTCACAACTTGAAGACTTCTCAATTTTGAAGAGCTTTGTAACTTGAACTTTGCCTCGAATTTGAAAAGCTTTGCGACTTGAAGTCTTTTCTCGACTTTAAAGAGCGTCCGACTTGAGTCTCAGCTCTAATTTGAAGAGTTTTCGACTTGAACACTTTGCTCAACTTTGAAGAGCTTTACAACTTGAAGACTTTACTCGAATTTGAAGAGCTTTATGTCTTAAAGATTAGTTCAAATTTGGAGAGCTCATGACATACAATATAGACTTATGTGCCAAGAAGCATTATCACTTTCAGTTTAGGCTTGTGCATTGAGGAGCAGTATAATTTGCAGTTTAGGCTCGTGCGTTAAGGAGCGTTACGACTTGTAGTTTAGGCTCGTTTGTTGAGGAGCATTACAACTTGTATGGACTCTTCAGTTTCATCTTCGGATGAATACTTGCCCCCATTCTCAGCATCGGCTGCTTCTATTTTATCATGAGGCTCAAAGTCAGGAAACCTTTGATCTCCACTTATAGTCATACTCAATTCCATATCATGTGCACGAGTTGCTAGTCCTTCAAATGTTTTGGGCTTTATGCCTTGTAAGATATAACGAAGACTCCAATGTATGCCTTGAATGCACATTTCGATGCCAAAAGTTTTGCTAAGGCAATCTTTGCAGTTGAGGCTTAAGCTCTTCCAGCGGATGGTGAAGTCAATAACTGGCTCATCCTTTCCTTGATGAGTGTTTGTAAGTTCTATCATGCTTACGATACGCCTTGTGCTATAGAAATGATTGAGAAACTCTTGCTCCAGCTGCTCCCAACTATCAATAAAACCAGGTTCAAGATCTATGTACCAATCGAATGCATTACCTTTGAGAGAACGAACAAACTGTTTGACAAGATAATCTTCGTACGTTCCAGCATTGTTTCAAGTTCCAACAAAATATGCTACATGTTGTCTCGGATTTCCCTTGCCGTCGAATTATTGCAACCTAGGAGGTTGATAACCAACATGAATCTTCAAGTTATCAATTCTTTGCGTATACGACTTTGAATATGTGAGAGATAATTTGGACGACGACTCAGGCTTATCTTTGATAGCCTCCATGATGAAATCCTTTAATCTTTCAATGGGAATCAGTCCTTCAACGGAGATTTGGATCTCCTTGGTTGTCGTTACTTACTTTTCGAAAGAGTCTCCTTTTTTTTGTGACCTTTGAAGATTTAAAGGTGTTTGTCTGGATTCTCCTTCTACTATACTATCTAATTTATTTGTTAACTTGGAAAGTTTAGCATCTTGATCTTTACGCTCTTTGACAAGCCTTCAACTGCTTTCGTCAAATTTGCAAGTTGTTCTTCTACGGTAGAAGCTTCAATAACCATGACTTGCATGATCACCGTAGAGAATGAAGAATGGTATAAATCATTATTGGGATAGAACTTAGAGGTCGCATTAATGGAGGCTAGAGTAGATCCAGCGCTCAAGTCATCATCATCGGCTTTCATGAAAGGTTTCTTGGACTTAGATAAACTAAGTTGGGGGAGAACTTTTTCAATCCTTTTGGCGATGTCGTCCCAATTTTGGGTCGTGCTTGTTGAGGATCTTTCTCTTTGTGATGACGCGGACAACACTTGGAGTGTTTGTTGTCCTAAAGAGTTTGCTTTACTCCTTGTAACTAGCCCAAATCTTCCAAAGGTAACATCGAGAATGTTTTCTATTTTAGTGTAGAACTTGGAATTAGCAACCTTAAATGATGTCGATTTAGAGTTAATCTTCTTTGAAGCCATTTCGATGTTCTTGAACTTTGGTGATTAAAAAGTTGAGATGAGAGGTAGAGATTGTCCCACTGGGCGTGCCAAAATTTGTAGACAATAAATTTGCGTCAAAAAAATAATCTAGATCAAAAAATATTGCAACAATCATAGTATTTGATTTCAAATAATATGAGTGTACAATCTCTATGAATCCTCTGATTCTTATTTCCAATAGTAAATAAATCCAATGGCCTTTGAGCTTGATCTTGAATATGTAGTTTATTGTCGCGAATGATGATCTTGAATTCAACTAGCACGAACTTTGATTTAAACTCATACTCCTTGAATCTTGATTTGTTCTTCGTTCTTGAGTTTGAACTTGATTGCTTGAAGCTTGAAACTTGTAGAGAAATATACGGCGTTTGATCCCCGAGTTCTCTCTTGCTTCTTGTTATAACTTCAATTTATAGTTGTGGGAGGAAAAAGTTATGATAAGAACAAACTCTTTCCGACCAATCAAATTGATGTGTGACAAGGACGTATTTGATTGGCCAGAATATGTCACTTACACATGTGCCGTGATTTTATTGGCCTCTTAATTTGACGTGGCATGCCTTGTCATTTTGATAAGTGGCATGATCCTATTGACTTTTTCGTTTGACTTGGCGTGCCACGTCATTTGACACGTGACACCTAACTATGCCTTTAAGAAGATGGAATCTTGGGCTTAATGAAGTGAACTCATCACTTGTAGCCTAATGAACTTGGACTGAATTATTAAGTTCATCTATATCGGACTTATATACTTAATCCAATTATATTAGCCCAATAAATTTATTTGAACTTTTCCGTTTGACTTGGCGTGCCACGTCATTTGACACTGGCACTAAACTGGGTCTCTAGGAAGATGGCATATTGGGCTTAATGAAGTGGGCTCATCACTTGTAGCCCAATGATCTTGGACTGAATTATTAAGTCCATCTATATCGGACTTATATACTTAATCCAATTATATTAGCCCAATAAATTTATTTGGACTAATATATTTTGAATTTAAAATATAATACAAATTAATTTATTTAATTCCGTAAATTTTACACGCCTACGGGTATTAAGATAATTACAAGTGAAAATATATTTATAAAATAGTGAATAAGTATACTGCAATCCTTCTCTTTTCAGCATCTTGGACATCTCACCCAAGCAAATAAATAAATCAGTACCACTCTAACATGTGTGCTGCAAAATCCCAATTCCCAATCCCATCCCACTGCCCCCCACAAAAAAAATGTCTCTTTAAATCACCACCATAAATGAGCAAGAAAAGTCATATGACATTGTAAAAGAGTCATTAATGTCAATATGCCCTTAGCGCAGGGCAGTGCAAAGTACCTAATTCAAGAGGACCACATTTTTCCCAAAGATGTGCCACGAGCCATTTCAAAAGTAGGTTTTCTTTGCAAAAGTTGGGCATGCATCCAAACTTTATTCAGAGATTGATTAAAATGTCCAACGTCTATGGAAGTGAAATCAAAGGAAAAAAAGTATCTCTAAAGCTAATCCATTCTCATGTTCTGCTGCCTCACAAAAGTTGTGCTACGTACAAACTCTGATATTTTCAAGAAATTATGATTTTTCAACTTAAATTGGTAATAAGAAAGAATAAGAACCTCTTAGTTGATAGCTTTTTCAATAGATTATATAGACAACTCAACTTGATTAAGGATTAATATAGGCAACTCAATTTGATAGAGACTGAAACGTAATATTTTGTTTTTGTGAATCTATTCGGCGACTCTTATATCAGTAAAACTTCCAACATAGTAAATTCGGTATTTCCAAATCAGTAGACTTTTAATACATTAAATTTCGAATACCACATAATTAAAGCGATAAAATAAAAAGGGTGTGTGGAGATCAAAGAATGAACAATTCGTTTACTAGTATCCAAAGGGAATTTACAGTAAGCCTGACACTTGTAAGATCAACAAAATCTGCAACTCTATTTTTCTCTATCTTTTTTTCTTCATTGTTGAAAATTTTCTTGTGTGCATAGATCAAGACGACATGTTAACATGCACGGTGGCATTCATATTAGAATTACACACAGGGCAAGTTTGCTGTAAACTGGATCCACAAACTGTGCAGAGGCACAGATGCCTGCACGGTAACAGCAACACACAGGATTCCATCTCTCCACACCTCCTGCACATTCTGTTACTTTTACTTTTACCCTCCCCCTTACCCTGCGCCTCCCCCGCTAACGTGCGCACTTCCTCCTCCTCCTCCTCTTTTTCCTCCCCGTGGTCGCTGCTACCGCAGCACGACTCGACGTCTTCCTCCACCACACCTGCGGCGGCGGCGACCCCTGTTCCAGCGGAGAGGCGCTCGTCGCTAACGTGTGCCAGGACTTGTTCCAAGTTGTTACGTAACGAATTGGCTGTGGCTTCGTTCGTTTGTGCTAAGTCCCTCCACAGTTGATTTTCAACGTGAAGACTCTTCACTCTTTCTTGTAAAACCAAATTCATCTTCCCCATTCTCTGTATTTGTTCATCTTTTTCATTCATTTTTTTCATCACCCTTTCACCAATCGCTGACACCAGCATTCTCGCTTGCTGTTTCTGTTGTTCTTCTAGTTCCAATCTTATCTTTTTGGTCTGTAAATAAATAAATAAACCACATCAGCACATGAGAAATGATAAAAAAAGAGCCCCTTTTTTTCAAATTGTGATATATTTTAAGAAAAACTTACATGATGAGAAATAATGGAGTTGATATCCAACTGATACTGTTGAACGAGCGGCAAAACGTCATCACCGACAAATGATGGTTTTTGAGGGCCGGTAGCAAAAGCAGTACTACATGTAGCGAACTGATGATTGAGTGAATCTCTTGAACGTTTCCTCGGAGCGACATCAGTTGTCGGCAGATTAAAGGTAAGGCCACTGTCAGTGTTCATCGATGTCTTCGGCTGAACAGAATCGCAAACAAAAGTTTGATGAATGGGCAACAAGTTTTCTGACATTGGCACCGCAAGAGGTAAACCGGTACCGATCTGGGTATTATATGTAAATCCAGTCCCCAGATTAGAATTTACCAAATTCTCTGCAATTTTCTCTGAAACCCCCATCTGGGTATTATACCTATTTGAGATGATTTGCTGTTGCTGAAGAGGAAAAAGATTGAGATGTCTTGCTTCAACATCCATGAAAAACCTCTTTGATCTCTGATTCTTCACCTTTCGTTTTGGTTTCAAATTGTTCTTTAGAGAAGAGATATATGGGGAGAATGTGGAGAGAAAGGAAAAGGGAAGAGAGAGCATGCAAATGGAGTTGGCGACTAGAGAAGCAAGAATGGCCTTTTGCCTTTATTTAAGCGTTTGGTTTTTGGACAGAGAGAGGATAAAGTCAAAGAAACCTAGAGAGAGAAAAGTCATAGATGTAGCGCGAATACCGATACGAAATGCTTTTGAAATTAGTAAAACTAAAGGGATTGCCTGCGTTTGCAACAACCATTCAATAGATCACTCAACTTTTTTAATAAATTAATGACATCGAGTTTTTCTATTATTTAAATCAGATTATGGGAAAAGTAGAATTAGGCGAATCATTCCAGATGTAGTGATAATTAATTGAATAGATCCACTTTTGTGCATCGAGCGCATTCTGCGTTCTACTTCTCGATCTACCTATGACTTCCCTGCATCCATACACTTGTGTCCAATTAATAAATTTCATGGGTGAACCTATGTAATTTCTTCTTCCACACAATTAACAACAACGACAATTGGTGGGAAAAAACAACAATCGTACCTAATTATCAAACAAGTGCGATCCGTTAATATAAATATTCCCTAATCATATTTTTTTAAAATCCTATATATAGAGAGAGAGAGTTAAAGGTGGAGTGGATAATTCAATCCTTCCGTCCTTATAAGAAATTCAGGTTTGAATTGAAAAAATGAATTGCTTTTATAAACAACGCTTTACTGGTCTTATAAATTTATTTGGAGTAAATTCAAATTAATCGATATATTCAATATTAGATGCCTAATACTATATATAGGAAAATTGTAGATTTAGTTAATACTCGTTGTCAAGGACTAGATCCATCAATATTAAAAAAAGAGCACGGAAAATCCAAATAGTTGATGTAGTTATAATTCTAACTTGTCCACCGCAGTTATAATCCAAGAGTATGGAGAATCCAAATAGTTGATCGGTAGACGGGTGAAGCCGAACCCTAAGCCGGCCCGATTCTTGATAAAATAAATCGAGTAAAGGACGCGAGGGCAAGGAACCAGAATGGAGGTAGGGGACTCATCGAGTCAGGCACCGGGGCACGACGTCCGCCCTCGAGTATATCGAGGCAATGACCCCGGGATCGGTCCAAATCCCAAGAGACTTCGGAGAGCATTATTGGGCAATCGAACACGATTAACGGAAGGCCGTAATATTCGCGACCAACCGGGTATCACAGCACAAATCTAAGCACGTACCAACGGGAATCCAGTAATCAGTTAAACGAGAGATTTTTACCTTTTATAAAATTGTACTTAGGGTATAACTCCCCTATTATATAAGTGAGAGCCGGATTGTTCATTGAACACATTGTAACGCGCATCCCAAAATAATATACTATTATTTTCACTGTCATTCATAGCTCTTATTCTCGTTCATCGGTGCTAGCCATTGAGAATCCGATCGAGGATGGATATTTCATCAAGGCTGGAATCATTCTCCTCTTATGTTTTGAATTTACTATATCTTTATTTGTTTAATCTAACACAATGTATCGTTTGTATCTAATTAATCCACATATCCTTAAAATTACTTATAAATTTAATTGTTATCCATTTTTTAGGGTAAACAATTTGGCGCCCACCGTGGGACTAAGAATAATAGTGGCAATTTATTACAAATTTCTATAACGCACCCTATTTTACACTTGTTCTTTGAAGTGTCTTCAATTTCAGGTCAAAGTTCAAAATGTCGAACTCCCAATCTGCACCTCTAAACGTGGATGCTAAGTTCGGTCACCACGGCGAGAACAACAATATGGTACCCAGTAACAAGGTGCCCCCTGTCGATCCAAGCAAAGTTTCGGTCGCAGACCCGATCGATGCTAACTCACATGTGGCCACCAATGCGAATCTGCCTACCGATCCTGAGAACAGCGTCCCGACGAGCGCAAAACACACACTTAAATATGCTCGCTAGTCGAATATAGTATAATATAATATCGTGTCCACAAGGATTGGATTTAAACAGTGTTATCGTAGTTTCTAACTTGATTGCTATCCAGGAGGATCAACAATGGAGATTTATATGATTTCTAACTATAATTAACTAAGAACCTAAAGCTATTGACTAATGACAATCGCAACAAAGGTAAGCAAGGAAGTTATCAATGGGAGAAAAAAAGGGTTGATAGGATAGGTGCAAGATAATTGTTCGGGATCTAACTCTAGATAATTCACTTCTAATGTTCAAGTGAGTCTCTCGAATTCACTTAATTATCAGTACAATTGTTTAGTTGAAACTTCTCTCTCGATTAAGTCTCAACCTCACAATATGAACCAATTTAAGCTTTGTGAAGATATGCAAGAATGCGTAATGGATAGATCTTTAGGAGAACATCCCTCGATTATCGTCCTAACTAGGTTTAATCAATGATTCAACTAGCCTCTTTCGATTACTTAGAAGAATCTATGAACTCAACCAATAATATAATGCAAAGATATCACAAGTTATGCCTCTTTCGATTACAAGAACAAGTGAATATAGATGTAACAATTAAATCTTCCAAAAATAATTGAAATACATAAAAATAGAGTTATAGTCCACAAACAATCATCAATACACCAAATCCATCAAAACCCAAAAGGATCTACTCCATAGACATGGAAAAGTTCTTCACAAATGTAATTAAAGTATAGGAAAACATAGATTCAGTCCAAACCCGGATCATCAGTGAGGAAGAAATGATGAAATCCTTGTGCTTGTGTTCTTCCAACTCCTTCTTAGCTTCCTTGGCCTCCTTAGGTCAAAAATCTCTCAAAACCCAAAAATGGTGTTTTTTTGTGTTTTTAAGCCACCCCTAATAAACCCCGGACGAAATTACCCTTTTTAGCGGAATTGAGAAGTTACTCTAACATTTTTGTGCTACCGCGTTGCATGCCGCGCCGCACCATGCGACGCGCTTGTGAACAATTCCAGTACGTTTCACAATTTCATTTTTGGACATAATATGCACTGCCGCCCCGCCCCATGAGGTGCAGCTGTACATTTTTCTTCGAGTAAGTTTGTTTCTCCAATTTTTATCATCCGGACGTGGTCCTTGACCCCCGAACGCGATCCCGGTTAAATTCCTTGGGCTTCTACTCATACTTCAAAGCTCCAAATAACTCGAATTTGCTCCGCAATATCTAAATAACTCAGAATCACTCCTACACGGCATAAAACACACAATAAGTGCAAAACACTACTAATTAAAGCTCAATATAAGTAAAGTACAGTGAATTAGAGTGCAATAAGCGACTAAAATACAGGATTATAGCCTATCATCACGTCCGCGAGGGAGTCTAATCGACAGCCCAAAATACACACGACGGTGAAGGAGGTGAGATCAACTTGGGAGTGATCTTCGAAATGATGCAGGCCCAACAGGCAGCAATAGCCCAGCTGTAGAACCAAAGCCGCGCCCCCAGCAGAATTGAACCCGAGTCATCCCGGAAAATCACTCATAGAAATGAACTAATTACGGAGAGGCCGAGTGAAGCTGAACCCGAGACTAACTCCGAGATCATAAAAATACTCGAGGAACTGACAAAACGGGTAGAATCGGGAGAAAAGAAAATCGAGGCCAATGACAAAAGGGTGGAAACCTATAATTTCAGGTTTGACCAAATCCCAGGAGCACCACCGATATTGAAGGGTATAGATTCCAAGAAGTTTGTTTAGAAACCTTTCCCTCCGAGCGTGGCTCCGAAGCCAATTCCAAAGAAGTTTCGCATGCCTGAAATTTCTAAGTACAACAGACCAACTGACCCAAATGAGTATGTGACCTCCTCCACATGCGCCATCAAAGGGAATGACTTGGAGGATGATGAAATCGAGTCCGTCCTGCTGAAAACATTCGGGAAAACTTTGTCGAAGGGAGCTATGATATGGTATCACAACTTGCTCCATAATTCTATTGACTCATTTGCTATGCTTGCTGACTCCTTCATGAAAGCACACGCCAGGGCCATCAAGGTCGAGACCAGGAAGTCAGACCTTTTCAAAGTGAAACAAAGGGATAATGAGATGCTCAGGGAAGTCGTGTCCCGGTTTCAAATGGAACGAATGGACCTGCCTCCGGTCGCAGACGATTGGGCCGTTCAGGCCTTCACCTAAGGACTCAATGCTCTAAACTCATTGACTTCACAACAGTTGAAGCAAAATCTAGTAGAGTATCCGGGTGTAACTTGGGCCGACGTACATAACTGGTATCAATAAAAAATTAGGGTCGAAGATGATCAGTTTGGGGCTCCTTCTAGGTCCGTTTACCCCGCCAGAACTATCGACAGACCCAAGAGAGACATTGATCGTGAACCGAGATCAAATAGGGATCGGTATCAACCATACAATGGGGACCAAAGAGGCAATGGGTCTGGATGAAAACCTGTGAGAAGTGAAAGGCTAAGCGATCGAGGTCAAAATAACCGGGGACTCATGAGGAAAAGCAATTTCGACAGGCCCATCGGGCCTAAGGAAGCACCAATGTTATCGGAGTACAACTTCAACGTCGATGATGCTGCCATCGTATCTACCATCAGACACATCAAAGACACCAAATGGCATCGACCTCTACAGTCTGATCCAGCCCAAAGGGACGCCAACCTAATGTGTAAGTATCACGGCACTCACGGCCACAAAACGGAAGATTGCCGACAATTGAGAGCTAACACTCTACTCAATAAGAATCTCTATTATTATGCTATTTAATTATGTTCATACTATTATTATTGCTTAATATTTTATTCAAGTACTTTGGATAAATATGGTTGCTATTGGCCTTATAATATAAATTTAATTATTTTTTCTAAAGTTAGTTTTCGGGTTAAACAGTATGGTGCTCTAGCAATTGAGCATTTGATCTAAAGTTTCACCAATTCTTCTCAATTTTGTATTATTGTCACTTGTTGATTACTTATTTTAAGGAAAACACTGTGTCTACAGACAATAACCAGCTAGTAGATCAAAATAGAGGGACACGAACTCCAAATGATCTAACTCCCGGAACCTCACCATCCCGTTCAAGAGAAATTTTCCCATCTTGATCTACTAGCAGGGGCGACGAACGAATTGGATTAGAGGAGACGGTGAAAATTTATGACTCAATAACAGTAGTTGAACGCCCATATTAGGGAGGCATTAAGGGTTCTGACTAGTGGCGCAATAGC